GCCCGCGTCCCACTCCCGCCTCCCCCACGTGCCTCCTTCCACGCCAAGCTCCACTGGGCACTGCTGACAGCAGATTAGGGCCTGCGGTGCTGGGGTCGCTCCCCCGGGGAAGGGGCTGAGCTGACACACGTCCGGAGCCCGGTCCCTGCCCTCCTCCATCTTCCTCCTCTTCGGGGTCACTGGTAGCCAGGATTTCAGCCGGGAGACCCAGGTAGCAGCAAGGGGTAAACACCCAGCCTTGGGCCCCACCCCGTCCACCCCACCCCCTAGCCCGCTGAACCCAGCAGCTGCCCAAAGAGCTTGTCGCTGGGAAAGGGAGGGAGACCCGAGGGCAGAGCGGGAATCCCAGTTACGGTTCCACAGTTGCCTTTCCAGGTTCTCAGGTCTGGCTCCTCCCCTGCCGCCCCCTGGAGCAGCAGGGAGTGGGGGGGAGAGACCTGTTCCCTGGTGCCAGCAGGGCTTGGTCAGGAGGAACACTGGGAGACGCTGCTCCCTGTTCTGAGTGAATCTGGGGACAGAATTACACACAGTTATGATTCCTTGTCCCTCCGTAGTCCAGGGCTCAAAGCCGGTGGGCTATCTGGTCTTTGGTGGTTAAGGGAGCCCACTCCCTGCTACCTACTCAGAGGAGGTGAGAGGATTCATAGAGGTCAAGGTGGAGGCTGGAAGGTAATGAGTGTACAAAGTGTGGGGAGAGGGAAATCGCCTTTAATACAGTGGGAGCTGGTCGAAAGTTCAGGTGTGGGGAGAAGCTGGCTCCCAGGAGGAGAGAGTACTGGCCAAGCCCTCCTCCCACAGACATCGCCTGCTTCCCCGTGATAAGCAGCTTCAAGGTGGGTCAGGCATGCATGCTGGAAGCATGGGGCTGTCTCCTCAGAGCCCCCAGGGCCTTCGAGATGTGAGGCACAGGACCCAGAGGAAGGCTGCCCCTGGACAGACACTCCCAAAGGCTCTTGTCCAGCTCCTGCCTGCTACCAGAGAGAAGAAGGTTACTTGGGTCTCTCCATCTGGGCTTTGTGTGTGTGTGTGTGTGTGTGTGTGTGTGTTGGAGTCTCACTCTGTCACTCAGGCTAGAGGCCACCGCAGCCTCAAACCTGCTGGGCTCAGGTGATCCACCTCAGCCTTTTTTTTGAGTTGGAGTCTCACTACGTCACACAGACTGGAGTGCAGTGGCCGCTCCCGGCCACCGCAGCCTCGACCTGCCGGGCTCCAGCAATCCTTCCGCCTCAGCCTTCCAGGTAGCTGGAACTACAGGCGTGCGCTACCATGCCCGGCTAATTTTTTGATTTATTGTAGAGATGAGGTTTCCCCAAATTGCCCAGGCTGATCTCCAACCTGTGGGCTGAAGTGATCCTCTCATCTTGGCCTCCCAAAGTGCTGGGATTATAGGCATGAGTCACTGTACCCAGCCTTTTTTTTGAGTTGGAGTCTCACTCTGTCACCCAGACTGGAGTGCAGTGGCCGCTCCCGGCCACCGCAGCCTCGACCTGCCGGGCTCCAGCAATCCTTCCGCCTCAGCCTTCCAGGTAGCTGGAACTACAGGCGTGCGCTACCATGCCCGGCTAATTTTTTGATTTATTGTAGAGATGAGGTTTCCCCAAATTGCCCAGGCTGATCTCCAACCTGTGGGCTGAAGTGATCCTCTCATCTTGGCCTCCCAAAGTGCTGGGATTATAGGCATGAGTCACTGTACCCAGCCTTTTTTTTGAGTTGGAGTCTCACTCTGTCACCCAGACTGGAGTGCAGTGGCCGCTCCCGGCCACCGCAGCCTCGACCTGCCGGGCTCCAGCAATCCTTCCGCCTCAGCCTTCCAGGTAGCTGGAACTACAGGCGTGCGCTACCATGCCCGGCTAATTTTTTGATTTATTGTAGAGATGAGGTTTCCCCAAATTGCCCAGGCTGATCTCCAACCTGTGGGCTGAAGTGATCCTCTCATCTTGGCCTCCCAAAGTGCTGGGATTATAGGCATGAGTCACTGTACCCAGCCTTTTTTTTGAGTTGGAGTCTCACTCTGTCACCCAGACTGGAGTGCAGTGGCCGCTCCCGGCCACCGCAGCCTCGACCTGCCGGGCTCCAGCAATCCTTCCGCCTCAGCCTTCCAGGTAGCTGGAACTACAGGCGTGCGCTACCATGCCCGGCTAATTTTTTGATTTATTGTAGAGATGAGGTTTCCCCAAATTGCCCAGGCTGATCTCCAACCTGTGGGCTGAAGTGATCCTCTCATCTTGGCCTCCCAAAGTGCTGGGATTATAGGCATGAGTCACTGTACCCAGCCTTTTTTTTGAGTTGGAGTCTCACTCTGTCACCCAGACTGGAGTGCAGTGGCCGCTCCCGGCCACCGCAGCCTCGACCTGCCGGGCTCCAGCAATCCTTCCGCCTCAGCCTTCCAGGTAGCTGGAACTACAGGCGTGCGCTACCATGCCCGGCTAATTTTTTGATTTATTGTAGAGATGAGGTTTCCCCAAATTGCCCAGGCTGATCTCCAACCTGTGGGCTGAAGTGATCCTCTCATCTTGGCCTCCCAAAGTGCTGGGATTATAGGCGTGAAGGACTCTGGGCAGGGCACTGGTGGCTCCTGCCTGTAATCCCAATATGTTGGGAGGCCAAGGTGATAGGATTGCTTGAGCCTAAGAAGTTCAAGGCTTGGGTGAGCCATGATCCTTCCATTGCACTTCAGCCTAAATAACAGAATGAGATTCCGACTCAAAAAAACAAACTAAAACCAACACTTGCCTCGCTACACTCATTGCATGATAGCCTTCACTGTTCTGGGACCTTCTATGGCTCCCTTGGCCTGCCACATAAGGTCCACACTTTCCCCCTGGCACTTAAGGTCTGTCCAGGTGGCTCCAGACAGGTGCACACACCTATGGCCATTTCTACCTTGTGCTATTTCTTTTATTTTTAAAATATAGAAATAGGGTATTGCTTTGTTGCCCTGGGTGGTCTTAAACTCCTGGTCTCAAATGATCCTCCTGTCTCAGCCTCCCAAACTGCTGGGATTACAGATGTGAACCACCACGCCCAGCCCACCTTGTGCCTTTTTTTTTTTTGAGTTGGAGTCTCACTCTGTCGCCCAGACTGGAGTGCAGTG